GCCGGGGGCCCCCGGCCTGGCAGCTGGCAGCAGCGTTGCCTCGAAAACAGGCCGGGGTTTGCCGCCTTGCCTTCCCCAGGCGAGCAAAAGCAGCGTGTTAGAGAGCGGGCCGCACGCGCGGCGCGGGCACTGCTTGCAGGGGACGCTGCCCACCCGGGGCTGGAGCCCATTTCACGGCGCTGAGTTAATGATTTCCGAGGCGTCGCAGAGCAAAAGGTGCGCGGAGGATGTCAGGAAGCCTGTGGGAAAGCTGGACGCGTGAGAAGCCCAAACCCTGGGGGCTGGCTGGCCTTAAGGACGCTCGAGTTATCGCTGACCTCTCCCCGAGCGCGAGTTGCCCTGGTTTTACTCTTGCAGTGAATTGCTCAACACGAACACGCTGCAAAGCCGAGGCGCGCGGTGGGCTCAGCCGTCGCTGCCGGCAGGCTCGCCGGTGCGCCGTTTCGTCTGATCCGGGCAGGCGTGCTGGCTTAACGCGGCTCTTTTGTGCTATAATCCCACTTGATTTTTTCCCTTAACACCTTTCCAAATGTTTTAAGCTGTCCTTTGTGGGGCTCATCCGCTGTTTAATCGGAGTTCAAACGAGCGTGTCTCCATCCCTGGATCTCAAATGAATTTGGTCGGGGCGGCTGAGCCTCCAGCCCTCCACTCCAGCCTGGCTGCACTCGTCCAGCGCAGGCAGAACGGCGAAAGGAGCAGAAGTGCCCTCCCTCGCCCTCTCCTATTCCCTTTACTCGATCTGCTCAAAATAGGTAACACCACCCCCCCCCCGACTAACACTGCCACACCGTTGTATGCTTTTTCTCTTGTGATAAGCTGCTAGAGCTCTTTAGTTGAACTAAGAAAAGAGCAAAGCGGGTGCGATATGGTGCTTTTTTTGTGCCTTAGCTGGTATAGAGACTGACCTGACGAGGCCCTAGCGTGGAGGGCAGCACACGGATCCCTTCAACCTCTGGAAAAAGCAGCTTTTTGGAGAACCCAGGCGTGCTCTTGATGAGCGTCCCCCCCCGCCAGGAGCAAATAGGTGCTTTTCGGTGAAGACACGCGTGCTTCGCTTTGGCCCACGGGTGCGAGTTTCTCAGCTCCGCGAGGGGAGACGCCGGCTGTTGCAGCTCTCCTGGCAGCCCTCCGCGGTCCCTGCAAGCCAGGAGACGGACGCAAGGAGCCGGCTGCCTCGCGAGCAAGCCCGGGAGCGGGAATTGGGCAGGCGAGGCATCTCTGAATCGCGCTGGCACAAAGCCAACCGTGACGGGACCCCGATCTCAGCTCCGTCCTCTGAGTGCTGCGAAAACTTGACTTCTCACTGCAGTTGTCCATGGCCATGGTGCTGCTTGGCTGCATAGAAAGGGGCTCGAGGAAAGATTAACCATCATTTTGCTAGTTGTTGTACGTGTTAGCGACAGTCGATTACAGCTAATTAAATCCGCCGCTTTTAATCCAGAAAGATTAAATGGCACATTCTGCTTTGCGTCCTAGACTTGGCCCAGAGATTAGACTGCATCTGGGACTTCAGAGTGCAGAGCACAGTCCAGCGGTTTGTGCCCTCGACTCAGCGCCAGGCTTTGGTCTGATGCCAGAGGCACTTTCACCGGTGTGTTAAGGACCGCGCTCCAGACCCAGGTCCCGGCGTGGACTAGGGCCAAGGGGTCCTGCAGGATGCCCCCAGCACCCTCTCGTGAGCCCACGCTGCTGCCAGAAGCAGTTCAGGTCTGTGCCTGGGCCGGGTTACTGCCGGCTTACTGTAAGCACAGCTCATCTCTGGGCAGCTGGTCTGAACCTGCCTGGGAAGGAGCCATGTGAAACCCTGGGAATAAACCACCCGCCTCCTTGCGGGACCTGCAAATCTCGCCCAGCAGAGCCCGACTCACATCGCTATGAGGGATGCAAGCAGATGTTGCCGCGTAATTAGCAGCCTTCGTACGCGAGGGTGACCATTCTCAACCCCTTACACAACCAGGCCTGCCTGCGCACGGCTCTGGCAATGCGAAATGCTTTCCACGGGCGTAAAGCAGCACCGCTTCGCTCAAATCGGTATCGCACAGCGCTGCTTCACCCTGCAGAGCAGGAGCTGGCCTGCGACGTCAAAGATTGGTTAAGCCGCAAGGACAAATACCCTCTTGTAAAAGCTAGAGCTTTACAAGAGAGAGAGAGAGTTTACAGGAGAGTTGCCTAGCAAATACCAGCAGCACGTTAAGCAATCAGTCTTACTTGATTGTTATAAAGAACAACACGTCTACACAGCATTTTTCCAAGTGAGACCCTGAATTGAGGCTGATGCTTCTGTGACCGTGGAGTGCTTTCTCCCATCCCAAATTGGCTCTGTTAATCTGATCATTTCATTGTTCGTCGTCCAGAAAACGACAGCCCTGCTCTAACGCGGACTGGACCTCGATATCGCCAACAGCGTGGACAACACTAGGGACTGCTTTCTCGAGCCAAGTGCCTTGCTGTGCTCACCAATGGAGCAGAGCCGGCTCTGCGCCCTGGAGGGAGGCAGTACGGGTTCAGTAGCTGGCGTGATTACCTCGGCGAGACGTCTGACAGGCATCGCAGCGACAGCTGGAGCTATTCCTCTTTGTCTAGGATGGGAGGTTTGGGGGTAGAGTCTAGGGGCGTAGGAAAGTCTTTTCTCTGCGGTGGCTTTGTCTGGGCTCAGGAACCATCAGGAAACGCCACTAAGGGGACCTGGACCCAGAGATACTTTGAGAGGCCCAGGCCAGGTGAGAAAAAGCAGTTCAAAAGCCTGGCTGGAAAATGATTTCACCGTGCCGGCATTTTGTACGTGTGTGCATACTCCCGGGCTGCAGGGCTTGTCCTGGCTGGCCTCGTTTCTGACACAGAGGCAAGTCAAAACCCACCATGCAGCAGGAGATGAGGAAGCAGCAG